AAAACACACCAGACCTTGACCAATTTCTTGCCAATAAAGACATAATAGTTTCATCGGCGAATATGTATTTTTTCAATAAAGGTACAGACAACCTGTATAAAATCTGAATTAAAATTATTCAGGTGCATATAAATTGAACTAGACAAATGGGCATTTTTTAAACTAATATGTAACTGGTCTACTTCTGCATAAAGTCTGACAACCGACAACACGTAAAAGAGAACTTGTTTTCTTGTGTAGAAAAGAAACAATTGGTTAACTCGTTGGTTGGGATAACGACTTATACTACATACACATACATACAATAAATACATATCTATATATTCATTAGGCTGCAGATATATTCAATATTTTTATCTAACATTGATTAAAGACACAGACATACATATATTATTCTATTGTACGAGGTTTAGTTTTGTACGCGATGCATTTTATCTATGATAAATTAGGCGCCGTCTCTGATTCGCAGTGTACTATATCTATGAGGGTGAGCCAAAAACTAGCTTGTGTAGTGGTGATCCGACAATTTTCCATCAAAAAAAAAACTAAAACATTAAAAAATTTTGGATCATAAAATTAAACCTTCTAATCAACCTAAAGATCGGGTGGATAATGTAAGACGTTTAGTAAAAGAAATACGAGTATGTCCAAGTTTGAATTGTATGTATATAAAAATGTAAAAATTTGCTGAAGCTCGAATTGTGGTATCCGTATCCGAAGAAATCAGCTTTCCACATGAAATGACTAATATTTAGTTTCTAATTTAAATTTAATGTTATATTATATATTCATAATTGCACATTTGTACATATGTATGTATGTACATATGTACCATAAATAAAAACGTAGATATGCATTTAATATTTCCACTTCAATACCCATTTAAACCACTTTTAATGTGATTTTGTTTCCATATTTATAATTAACAAATGACGTGTAAATTAATGCTAATTTGATTTAGCATTTTGATTAGAGATAAATATACTTATTCATTATATATATGTTGTACATACATATTCATCAGAACTAAGGCGAAACGTTTTTCCAGTTTCTACTCTAATGTAATTTTCTGCAACTCTAATTAAAATATTTTTTTTAACATTAAAAGCTTATAGCCGATGACTTTGATTTATTGCGATTTTTTATTTTAAAGGTATGAAATTTTAAATTAAAATTATATAAATCAGTTTTGAAAATTCTAACGGTATTTGCACATCAACAATTGGTTCATGAGCGTGTGGGAAAGTCCTTAAATTAATCAATTAGCAAATGGCCTACACAAATATACTCATATGTATTAATGTACGGGATATATGTTTTTTTTTGCTTTGCAGTCTAAATCAGTACACGATTGGAACTGAATGTTTCATATACATATTTATTCCAAATAGTAATTGTACCACCTTAATGTATATGCATCTGTGTAATTACCGTGTATTAGTCTACACAAGAGTTCCCCATGCAACTTATTACCGGGTAATCGTTGCAAAATAGCTATATTTAAGAACACTGTCAAATCATATACAAATTGACAGGCAAGCATTATGTTAATTGTGTGAACTAAATATGAGGTGACAATTGATATGGGAATAAAATTATAATAAATAGATAAAATAAAGGAAGAAAATTACACAGTGCAACAAGATTCTAAGTTTTAGACATAATAAAAACTCAAAATGATTCTAGCCAATAGATCTGATATTATGCATCATACATATGGATAACTTACTCATTTTCAAAATTCAAATGCAAAAATCAAGGTTGTTCACATTGAAAGTAAAGCACACCCTCGATAATAAATAAATATGCATATAAACCTATATGATTTCATTAGATAATTTCCTAATAAGTTTGCAATACAAATATTTATAAGTATATTCAAAAAAGAGTATAATTAAAATGATATTACTCACCCTCTGTGTGGCCCAATTCACACCAACAGTGATCGTTAATAAATTGTTGCCCTAAACAATATTTCATGACCTTATCCAAGCAGCTGATAGCGCAACCGGAGGGTTCTGCCGGAGAAAGAAAGAGAGGAAGAAATTATTATAAAAAAGTCCTAACTAAAAATACGCAAGATATCTACAGGGCTTTCCCCGTTTATTTCCTGCAAGAAACAACTAGTTATCCGAAAACAGAAGAGTGCAAAAATGGATAGTATTGTTCCCATAAAGAGCGAATTAAGAAAAAGTAAAAAACCATCACTGTTGTTAACGACAGTTTCGTCTCAATACTTTTTTGGAATGCATCGGACTGAAAAGTTTATTAGTTCGTGAAGTCATGAGCGAAAAGGGGTGATGGTTTTCTTTACAATTCTTATGAATATCTGGTAGTCGCTTATGAGCTTCAGCTAGCTACTTCTTACGCTCTCGATTTCCGCGCTTTTTTGGTTAAAGGGACATGTTTTATAAAACCTTTAAAAATTAATTCGGTTTTTTTCTTTACTCCGAGAATAAATTTTCAAAGTTATGCCTTTTAGGGCCTGGACTGACCTAAAACTGCTCACTTAAGAAATACTTTTTTAGTAGAAACTTGGCAAAATATTGATAGTTAACTATTAAGAAATGAACGAAGGTAAACTCATCGGTTCGATACTTACCACCATAATTGCTGACATTAAATGTTTTCAACGCCGTTATTGCCTCCAAACGCGTCACCTGATGTTCGAAATGATATTCCTCATATGGTGCTTGCATATTAGGCGCTTTCTCTTTAAAATCACTTATATCACAGAGTACACAAGATTGTGGCGCCGCACAGGAGCTACCAATTAAATGCGAAAACCACAATAGCAGTAGGATAAGTAGGACCAATGATGGGGAACGCGTTAGTTGACGACCACTTTTGTCGTTTATATATAGTTGTTGCGTCGAGCTGCTGGAAATACTACAATGCTCGATAACACTTTGCTTTGTTGTTGTTGTAGAATTCGTTTTACTAACTGCCGTTGAACTTTGTTGATAACCCGCCCCAGACGGAAGCGCGACGCGCTGCGGTCGCAGTTGACTAGAACGTAAGCAGAGTAGATTGGAAATACGGCTAAAATTTGTTTTGTTCTTTAGGTGTAATACCGAATAGGATCGTTGTAGTAAATTTTGGAATTGTTTAAATGCTGGCAGATCAGTTGTTGTGCTATTTTGCGTAACTCTTCTATAAGAAGAATTGAAATGCTCAGCGGTCAATCGCTTCGAACAAATATTTTGACTGTTACAACAACGTTGAGTCAAAGATGAATTTCGTAGTTGTTGTTGCGCTCGCGCATTCTTATCACTTTGGAGTGTGTGCATTTTGCATTCGCTCATCTTCGTTCAACGTTGCCCCACACTAATACACCGACGCGCAAACACTTAGCAGCAACCGTAGTGTAACTTAAATGTTTAACAAGCTTTTCGTTGAAATAATTTATTTTTGTATTTTATAATCACACATTGTTTACATAATATGACACTTAAATGCATAGAATGCTAGCGATAATACTCGTATTACTTGGAGACGCATCAAAAAACCTATATATATGAAGCGGAAAAACAAATGTTGTAGAAATTATTATTGTTGTTGCAATGTGCACTTTTTTGTATATAATTTTTTTATAAGCTGTGTTGTTTTGTTTTAATTTTTTTTTTTGTTTTGTTCGAGCTATTGTTCAAGCCGCATTATCAGTTTTACTGCAGCCGTACAGTGCTGAAACATGACACTTAGTAAATGTTAATTAGCATTAGAAAAAATTAACAACAAAAAAAGAAATGCTTCTCTACTTTGCATTTGAATTATTTCGAATTCTTTTCACACATCACTTGTTTTCTCCACGAGCACTATTTCAAGCATTGCAAGAATTCACATAAACATATGTATTTGTAGAAGTATACTTTTAAGTGTTTATTGGGCGGTTTTGATTGATAAATTTCAACAAAACTTTTTGGGCTACGACGCAAAACAAACAGCTGATTTGATGTTATCAAGTAAAAAATTAAAAAGCAAACAAAAACAAAACGCACATAAAAAACTGCCGAATAACGATCGAGCTGATCTGAATAACCCTTTTTTCGGTGCTAATTGTATTTTTATACTTATGAACGCATAACAATATTTTACTCATCAAAAGCTTTTCTAAATTCTGTAATCTATGAACCACTTTTAACCAAAAGATGTACTATTTATGATTAAATTTTCTTAGAATGTTTAAGCGGCCGGTCATTTAACAATTACTCAAAATTCTTGCCGAATTCCGATTGCCAAAATTGTTAGGATTAGCTTCTGAGGTAGAATCATCTAGTACTTTTATCTTCACCATACCACTTATACTTAAAGACCTTGGTTTTCAGGTCTTCAGCATGTTGGATGAAATATCTGAATCTACAAAACGCTGGTAGAGAAATCAAGGAGTCTGAGCAGTTTTTCTCTTGGGCCGAAGATGCGGCGTCGTAACCAATAAAATCCAAGTTTTGCAATGTTTGAAAATATTTTATTTATTTAAGTTTTTTAGTTTCCACCAAAACAGATATTAAATTTTTACATTTACAACCAAATATCACACACATCTATTCCCAAATCACTGGAATTTTGAAAACAATTTTAAAATTTGATATACTGCACAGTGCATGTTTTTAATCAGTCGCAGATTTATTAACACTTTTACGGTAGAATCCCACGCACACGCATGTCTCCCACAGTCCTGTCAGTAAACATAATAAAGTGTTAAACGCTCTGTATCTTTTAATCAAATATATTTTGCCACATTAAAAGTGAATGAATTTAACATACAAACATACATATATACAAACATATATATCTAATAGTTTTTAACATTCAAAAGTCACGTTTCAATCGCGCGACGACTACTTCAACGAAAATCAAGCGGTTTCTTACCACCCACTTACGTTCGGTACACACCGAAAACCATATCCGTGTGACGCTTTTCACTGCCACTGCAACACTGAACGCACTAGCATATATTTTTACTTGCTATCGGTGAGCGCGTTGAACGTGACGCACAGTGGTACAGAATTAATGTTTTACCAAATTTTTAAATTAATTTTTAGGTTATTCGTTCACACAAAATTTTTTTTAATTTTAAATCATTCCACTTAATGTAGACACACAATTTATTGACAATAATATAGGTAATAATACTTATACTATAACTGACTTCAATTCGTTGAATTTTTGAGAGTGGTGAACCAAACAAAGTACTAAAAAATAAAATAAATAGAAATAGCCAAGAATATATAAAATTTAAATATATTCTAGGGGATTAACTCAGATCTTGGAATACTAGCAACACAGGGCCTAACACAAACGTACTTTGGAGTAGTATTGATAGCGATCAGACTAAAGAGCTTTTACTTTTAAGTAGGAGGGAACTAAACAACATTGTAGTTATCATCCCAGAGCATTTCATCGAATCCTCAGAGTCGCTGAACAGGACTAAATTTGTTACAACTTGGGAGCATAATGGGCTAAATGATGGTTTAAGTGCGGCCATCTCCCCAAGCCAAGCACTCCCCCAGGCGACTGCGTTTTTCAACCAACCAACACATATAAAATAGAAAAAGGGTATACCATTTTAATAAGGTATCGAAATACTCTTCCGTTTTTAATTAAATTGTATTGAATTAAATTGTAGTATAACCTTTTTATTGCTTTAACATTTTCACTATTTGACAAATGATCACAGCTTAAATCGAAAGTGGTTAATACCTGTAAGCTTGTATTATCTATTTTTTTTTTCGTTTGCTCTTACAGCCTATATTATGACGGCATTTTTTTATTATTTTTTTAATAATTTTTCTTTAAAAATATATATTTGCCTTACATTTATATATTTTGTATATGTTTTATTGAAAATCTAACTTGTATTGTAAATTGTATTTTGTTCAATTTTCACACGAATTACACTCCGAACCACTGTGCGTCATTCTACTCAGGCAATATGAAAGAGAGCAGGAGGTAGTGTTGCCATATTTTAAATTACAAAAAGCTCCAAAACTTAGAGAAGTTGAAGCCAGTCTAACCTAGTTCTAAAACAATATATTATTTAAATTGATGCCTTTTTTTATTAAAAAATTATAATTACTATCGGTAATTTAATACTGCCTGTTGTCACATGACCACTATTGGAACATTCTTTTTATACAATATTTGTAGCAATTTTGAAACGAACATACTATATTAAAAACCCTGTAAACTGAGCTCGAAAAGCCACAAAATAGGTTACCAGACGCTACACGTTTATGTTTTTAAAAACATCGTAAAGAAAGCATAAATTACCAAGTTGGCAACTATGGACCGAATGCGTAGTAAGCGCGTATGAATTTAGATAAGAGTGCATCTCTGACTTTTAGGCTTATTGCGAATAAATGTATTGCTTGTATCTTTGCAATAAAAGTATAAGTATATATAAATATAGAAATTCCAAGTAGAAAGGGCTAATTTTGAACGGAAACAAAACTAAGATACGAGTGGTATCTTATTTATTGTGAGAATAAAATAAACAATATTAAGGTTCATCACGTGGTATATATACGTACATACATGATATATGTGTAACTAGCACAGAGTCCTATACATAAGTATCTGCGCCTAAAAGCTTCCCTAATACCATATAGTAGTACAAAAATAAATTTCGAAAAAACTCAATCACGAAAATCTACAAAGGCCTTTCTATTTTTCTCGTTTCTATTAGAAGGATCTTCCATTTTTTTGAGATTTCTTTGAAATTAGAATGTAGACTCTGTGCTCATACGGAATAAAACGAGACTATCTCAAACTAGAATACCTTTGTCCAATTTAGATTATCCGTGTCTTTATCGAAAAATATTGACTTGCAGATGAAATATGCTCTCTTTTTGAGCCGAATTAATAAATTGAATTAATTTTAGTCAGAAAATTTTGGTTTCGAACTAATCAAGTCGTTGTTTCAACACAGGACCTTGGAGAGCATGTGCCATAACCCAAGTTGTGTGAGTCATTTGTATTTTGAATATTTTAGAGAGTCATTTGTATTTTGAACTTGATCACGGCTGTTTGTGTAAAATCTAATTTTACAAATATAATACAACTTGAGTACTTCGTTGGGCTGTGGGTAATATTTGTTAAAAAATACGGGTTTTCCCCCGTTAGTTTTCTACGATTTTGAAAGTTTTTTCGAATTTTGGAAGTTATAAAACATTACATGTACAACTTTCTGGTGGTTTTTTTGGCGCGGCCTTAAGAAAATCTCTAGTTATGTTGTGATTGGAGCAGAAGAAATTCTGAGAAAGTTTGCCAAGGCAATATTTCAAAGCCGGATAAAAATTCAAGCCCAGTTCGATTAACTAGACCCAACTGCTGCGATACGGACTCTTAAATTAAGAAATCTATGACAGAGTTCTCTGTTAAATAAAGTACGATTTAACCGACAGTTGTCTTGCTGGGTACCCACACTTTGTCGGTGATTGATTATTTATCCCAATATTTCCCGGAAACCACATTTATGACATTGTCAATACTTTAAAGAAGGCGTGCCGAACTTTATATGATTCTTCAGCAAATATTTTATACTTTTGTTTGACATAGCGATGTCCATATGTCAATAATCTGTATTTGTTTGTTTATTCTGCAATTCGTGGAATATTCAAGAAGTCATTGTAAACAGTGATGGGGTGTTGCAACCCAGTTATGTAACCATTCTCAAGTTGAATACTTCAATACTTCATTTATAAAACGTGACGATTTATGGTTTTACTGTGAGTATTCGGTAAATATGAATGCTATAGTTGAAGTATCCCAAATGTCCATATATTTATGTAAATAAATATTTAAAAATTCAGAAGTGAGATTAATTCGCACATTAATTTTTTTTTAAATTTATCTTATCTTATTGTCAATATAAACACATAAATGTATACATTTGGTTGTCCTGTAAAGGTATGTACATATGTACACACTAGAGCTTTTGGTATTCGATTAATCGACTAACCGGATAGGGCATTATTCGAATAATAATATTTGGTTTGCACTATCCGGATATTCGTAAGTTGTCGGTTATTCGATTAAAAAATAGAAAAGTCGATGCGAATTTGAACTACCATATACTTTATATATAAGTATAGTTATTTAACACAGGGGTATGATCAATATATAGAGAGACAACTGTGAGATAAAAAAAACGTTACCAATTGTGCGCCAATTTGCTATAGGACTTGACAATTATGCGTTTACCTGAAAAGCTGGAGAAGTTTATTATTTTCAAAAATCTGCCGCTCCCTACAAGTGGTTTTATTCCTTTGCATTTGTTATTCACATAGTATGTACATATGTATATCTCTATATATATATTTCTCTAATTTGTTGCCACTTTATTACACCAGCCACCACACAATGGAATATCGCGTGCCACACACTGTGTGTTGATTAAATACACCAATCATCTAGGTATTTAAATATTCATCCAGCCATACTAATCGTCCGTTCATTTGTTAATTGACAGTCCTAGTATACGCCGACATTCATATTCCTCATTCCTAGCATACATTTCTGACACACTTTCTTTGGTGCCTACCTCACCACCCTTTATGACTTTCTTGCGATAAATATATGGGTTTCTATATACATATACATAAGTACATGTGTGTTTGTGGCATGCCTACTTTCTCATTTGTTTATAATTTATATTAATGTTAAGCACACTGCTTAGAAACATACATACATACAGATTTAGGAACATATGCAGTGATACTTTGGGGCTTCATACTCCCTAGTTAATAATAGCATGCAGCAGCTCATAAAGTGAATTCTTTAGGTCGCCTATTTATAGGCAACTCGAAAGGAATCAACATATGCTGCGCGCCCAACGTCATCTATTAAAGAGGGATTCTTACACTTGTATACATTATTGTTTGTAAGTTTATTTCTCTTAGAAATACACAGGTTGTTGTTGCAACATTTAATATACTATGCTGTAGAGTGTGTGAGGGTACATATACCTGTAGGAAAATAAATTTGAAGTAGGCAGAAATATATTTATAGAAACAGTCTTATTTTTCTGATCACAGAACGTTAACTTCGGTTACACCGAAGCTATAATACTATTGGCAGGTGTATTAACCATATAATAGAATAAAAGGGTTAAAGAGATCTTTGTCTTGATTTTGATCGGTCAGTTTGAGAAAGAGAAGGCTTTGATTTAGACAATAATTTATGTGAAATTTCGTGAAAATATATTGTCAAACCTATATAGTTATCTATACAAGAACTTGAAATGAATGAATTTCAGATCGAAATCTCAAAAACTAAGTGACTAATTCGTATATATACAGACGGACAGACAAACGGATATGGATAAATGAACTCAGCGTTAGATCACATATGGTCATTTGATTTCCTACGAGGATTGTACTAAATATATAATGAATATTTATATCATTACTTTATTTTCCCTTCATCGAAACCTACTAAAATTCGCGGCATTTGAGTTAAAATTTATCGTTTTTGTTCCCACATAAAAATATTTGTAGAATTTATAGTAGCATACAAATTATACCTACATAAGAAAATTTAATTATGAAATGATATGGAGTTCGAGAAGTGCCATAAGTATCTTTAAAAAACAAACAGTCTACTTACTTATCTTTTTTTTTTATTTAAGAGAACCTTGAGAACCAATATCATCGTTTCTACTATATATCTACATAGCTTAAGAAAACAAAAAACGAGAAGCAGACTTCAACTGGGCTCATCAAGTCGACAATAATCAATAACTTTTATCGGTATGCAAACATTGAATAACTTTGAAACACATTACTTGACCAAAACAGACTGTTTGGGCCGGTTTTTTTTTTAACAAAATGAAACAGCCAAAAAGAATAAATGAATGCGTGAAAAAGGTATTGAAACTGATTTCAATAACAAAAACAAAATCGGCAAACAAACATACTATTTCTAAACTATATCTATTTGTTTCGATTGGCTAACGATTGGCGAGATCGCTATATAAAATTTTAGCAAAGTCCATGCCTTTTATTTTCTATGAATAAATTATATTTCAATTCAAATTATAAGTTTTAAAAATCAATAAAAATATATTTAGATTTCTAATAGTAATTTGTCAGATTATTATTTTAAAAACGTTAAAATAACTCTAAAAGCTCAAAAAGAATAGCAAGCGATAATGCCACCCCCTTCCCATTCAAGTTCTTGTATTGAACTCAACAATCGCCAACTCTGTTGTTACTTTTACACGTAAAGTTAGTGAACAGAAATATGGCAAATCGAAGACAGCTTCTATTAAATTGTGGCAGTTTATTTCACATATTTCAGTTGCTTATTCGATTCAGCAAAGTTTACTCATCTCTTGGTGAGGGTATACTTGTTCATTTGTTGAAATTACTCTAAAATTTTAGCACAGTACTCAATCATTATAAAATTCCTTTTCATACCCACTCATAGTATGTACGTATGTTAATGTGCCAATTTCCTATTAAACCACAAGCAAGCACATCAAAGATTATATGCTATAAACTCCTATTACCCTTAAAGGAATCAATGGTTGTAGAGCACGAAGTGAAAGCTATGTAATTTAAGATGACATCATGCGCCAAACAATTACTCGCATGTCATACTGTGCAAGTGCTTACAAAAAGTACAAGTGAAGACATTAAAATACCAAGCCGAACCTTACTAGGGCAATGTGGTTATCCTTAAAGCACGTCAGCAACTAGCCGCCACACTGGAATGAAGTCAGAGGGAGATATCTGAGTAGTATTAGAGAGAGGTTAGTGGTAAGGACCATAGTATGCAAACAATTTGCATTTCATTTAAAGTGTAGGTTATATGTGGTTAAAAAAGCACTTGCACGAATCCACATTTAATGCGAAAATTGTGTGCAAAAAAGCCATTTAAATTGTGTTTCAGCAAAGCCTAGTTGCTGCTCCTCAGAGACGCCACTTAGAGCGTATATATGCCGGCTAGCCTACAACGCCGGCAAATTGGGGTAGGACACAAATATTTGCAAGCGAATAAGCAATGAAAGGAAATTTGTTATATGGTATGTGAGTATGTATATATTACATACCATATAGAATATCCTATATTCCGCGAAAGTCCTTTTTGCCAATTTAGGAAGGTGGCATTAGCTTTGTTTGCATAATAATATCTTGTCAAATAAGCAGGTCAGCTGCGCGAATATATTCATTTTGCACATAACACACATATTAAATTAGTTCCATGAATTTATTGATCGAACGCTTTCACATGATTCATACGTCTAACTTGTTTTTGTTATTTTTATTTTACGTTATTTTTTACCTTGTTTATCTACGACACATGCTAAGGTCGCTGTTGCAGTCCGACTGCGACATTTGTAAATAAACAATGCTCGTGCTAATAGTTTGAATAGCTGTGTAGTGCCGGTGCTTGCAAATGTTTGGCCTTTGGAAAACACTTTGTTAATGCATGATTTATGAAATTTCAAATGTCAATCATCGACAGATATTTATTAACATCACATATTAATTTTTGTATGTAGAAATATATGCATCTAAGTATGTATATGAACAAGTGCTGCCGAGAAAATTTCATATACGAGTATTTCAATTTCGTCTGCGCGCAGTTGTGTAAAGTGTGTGCATATTTCGTACACATTTTTTCGCAATTTATGAGTGTTGATTGTTATGTCTGTTTCCCATTTGTGGGATGATTTCCTTTACTATACATGTACGTGCATAGGTTGTGCTTATTTGTTTAACTATCTATGTATGTATACTAGTTTTTCCATGCATTTGAGCAGCGAATTTTCGATATATGATTTTCATATAAAATACAAGTAGCATAAGTTTTAGTGTGGTTTTATAAAACAAACTATGATTTTTTAATAAACTTTAGTATTTATTCATCTGTAGGTGTGTTTACGGTATCTAAAGATCTATTTTAACATAATTAAAACGACTTACTATAAAATAGGGTGATTATTTAAAGGTACAGCAGGTCTCATATCTCTCACAATCCTATTCTATCCTATCCTCCTTATATTTGATATTTATGTGCGGTAAAATTTATTTCCAAACCTCGATGTCAGTGACAAACTTCACACACATCAGTTTTGAGGAACAGTAGTGGCTTAATCAATACTTACCATAGATAAGTATAATTGTTTAATTTGGTGCGCAACAAACAGACTCTATTTTCTACCTTGTATCCACAAGAAGTTGGTAGTTTTGGTAATAAAATCAAATCAAAACCTCAAGTCAATAGTCCATAAGCGTAAATCACTTTGGATGAATAAATCAACCTTGTGGGAAGACAATATTCACCGTATTATTGCCGGCTTAAGAGGCACAACTAGTGGGAAATCTCGTAAAAAGAAAAGAAAATTTTCAAATTGACTGCAGTTATAACTGAAAGACTTTGTTTTACTTTTCTTGTTGGTACATATGTTTCTCTATACAATTACCTTACAGTTTTTCGATTGTAGGAAAAATGTAATTTTGGTGGGTCAACAACCACCCCAAGCGAAATTCGACATTTCTTTTCAAAGTCTGTCATTTAGTTAATTAATTTTTTTTTTTTAACAATCATGGATCATTGTATAGTAATACCTTACAGATTAATAATATATTTCTTTGTTTTGAGAAACGCTGAAGGTCGTAAAAATAGTGATGCGTCAAGTTTTTTTCGTAACTTGAGAAATAGCGATTATTAACTCTCTAAAAATAAGTTTTTTTTTATTTTTGTGTATTTTAATTAATTATTCCCAAAATTTTTAAAATTCGAAAAAGTGTGCAAATTTAAAACTCCATAAAATTTGCTAAATCTAAATGACAAAATAATTTTTCTATAATTTATTAGAAGAAAAAATTTTAAAGCACTAAAAATTCACCCTTTATTTTTACAAAGAAATATTATTTATATGCGTTGTTGTGGAATTATAAACGAATTTTGTATAAGGCTGTATTTAGTTTTAAATTTGATTTTTATAACCCAACACTTCATAAATTTCATATTTCTTCTTTCACTATCACTCTCACTTTATAATTTCTTTTTTATATCATAGATTTCAAACTTTTCCCATCAATAATATTCCAATATATAATTCATAGAAGACACACACGATCTTCAAACTTTCACCAAAAACAATACAATAATTTATGATTTTTCACAGAGAAATTGCAATAAAATTATTTTGTTACTTAATTTATTTTTTTTTAGAAATTATAATCGTACATATACTCTAATGTGTGACAAACAGTCTACAAGTAGTATGTCTCAGCTGTCGTCTTCGCAGTAGCGTCAGCGCGTCAATGAACTTTACTCCGGTCTACTTGAAGAACGACTAAAATCAGCAACTCATAAGAAATCGTTGATAGGCAACGAGAACACTTTTGTGCATTTGTATGTATATCTTTTTCTATATGGATATAACAGTAGTTGTTTAATAGCTGCGTATCCTGCACAAACAAACGGTCAAGTAGTTGAAGAAACTACCCCTAAAAAGTTTAACTTCCAAAGGTGAAAACGCTTTGCATTGAATGCTTATGAAAAAGAGCGGCTAAAGCGAACGAGTGAACGCAAGACGAATACGCTTTGTTGTTGCTTCACCTTAAAATGAAAAATTGACTATGAGCGTAAGGCAAAATGCGTTGCATACACTTAGGATGACACACACACACGTGGAAAAATGGATAACGGTAGGCAAAATATTAATGAAATCTAAACAAATGCTAGATATGAGCTATAATAAAATTAATTAAATTTAAATAAAAAATATATACAAATTAAAACGAAATTGATACGAATTTAAAAAAATATATATAACAATTAATAATTAAAAAAAATAGTTCACCAAAATTTTGGTTAAAAAATTATATGAAGTATAAATAAATATATATTATGAAAATGATAACATAAATAATAAAAATATTTGACTACGATTTTCAGTGTACAAAATGCATTTATTAAAGCAAAACACCCTTTATTAACTACCAACACACATTTCAGCGCCTCATGACATTCTGGCGCCTGCGCATGCGCTTACTCATTCGCAGTATTAACGCTGTTTATTATTTGGTTTTCTCTGCACTCTCTTTGAGACTGCTAGACGGTTAATTTTAAAGGATACACCACCTGCTTGAAAGTTTGCAAGCAGACCATATAATTAAGTTGAGGGTTCAATCAGACGGCCAAGATACCTCAAATTCGCTAGCATCCTTTATTACGAAATGATAATAAAAACATACATACATATGTATATACATACGAGAATACATATATATGAATAATCATAAATATTCTGTTTAGCAAGGGCATTTGGCAAACTGAACATGGAAACATTAATTTATTAGAATTTAATTTTTTTGTAAGAGGCAGAAAATATACAAAATACATAATATCTATTTAACAAATATTAAAAAAAAAATCAAATTTATGTTAAAAAATATTACAAAAATATAATATAGTAAAAAAATATATATACTGTATTTCTGAGATAAGCAATTGTATAAAAATAAGTTAGTCGTGGAGAAGTGGGTCATGCCAGTAACTCGAAAAAAATTGTGGGCTTAAAGCAGGCTTTATTTAATTAGTAAGAGAAAAAATATTCCCGATTCAATTCAATGTAGGAAATAGCGTTCGGGTCAATCAACTAAAAAACGACACCACTTTAAAAGCGTTTTTCTTAAAACAAGATTTTTCAATGCAATTTCATTCGATTTTCTATTATTATTATAATTATTTTACTTCACACAACAACTTTAGCCTTATTGTACAGTTAACTTTACATATACAGCAACATAACCGCACTTTTTCTTAAATTTATTAAACCATAAACACAAATAATAATAAATTAAATAATTTTCAACATTCATTCTTAAAATTTCCCGCAATCAAAATGTCATACGCTACATTAAAAATAAATACATTTCAACCGTGTAATAAGCAGCTGACAAATTAAGATGCTCGTAAAACATAAGTTCACGCAAATACACTCCGCAGCTGTCAGCAGCCCTTCTAGCACTTAAGACAGCAGACAAAAACAAAAAAATGCCATCCAAACAGCGAAAGCATGTCAAGTTAGACAAATTGGCTCAAATTATGTAGTGTCAGTCATTGATGGTCCAATACATTAATATAATACATACACACACGTGTAGATTTCATAATTCACACTTCCCTACATATTTACAATGGCTAACACCCTTGATTGTGTATAAACATATGTAAGTGCTAAAAGAATATTAGTGCATATTTATCGAACTAAAAAAGTGACATATATCTCCCATACATAAATATGTACATATGTAATTTCACTTGCTGCGAACTCATTGTCGCTTTTGCTATTGTTTATCTTTAGCTTTCACTAAGAGCTTTTGGCTGAACGCCAATACGGTCAATAGAAAATCTTAACCGCATGAGCTGGATAGTTTTCGAAATCTCTTTGTTATTGGTTTTTTAATTTAGCTACTTATTGAGAGACCTTCAACATTTTTTTCGTAATCTATTTACTCTCGTGATTACTTCATAACATAGATTAGCTTCTAGATACACATTTCTAAGTACATTGTATATTTTTATACCTTTTATACACTGGAAATAGTACTAAAAATCAACAATAAAATACTTAAGTTCAAGTCAAATTAAGGTTACTTAATAGGGAAAGCTTAATAAGGAGACGGTTCCGACAAATGTGCAGAAATGGGTGCAGAATGTGCAAAGAACGTGTGCAAAATTTCAGATCGATATCTCAAAAACTGACGAACTAGTTTGCGTATATACATAAATATCCATCGGTTATCTGAGTGACAATATTTGTTTCCAACAAAAACTCTAACAAATTCCAATTCATTTATAAGCAGCTTCTCGAATAATTCATTAATCTATTAGTTTATTTCTTTTTTCGCGTATTTTTAAATTAAAACAACAATAATAATCACATTTTACCTCTGCGCAGCTGTGTTGTTTTTGTTTATCACATTATTTTTCATATAGCAATAATGATAATAATATTTTTTTCAACAATTTTTATGCATCTCATTATTTAAGATATTTGCGAGATCTCTCTTGCTATGTTATTGTGCGTGTGTGTGATATTTTCATTACAGCGGCCATGGTCACACCAACACATACGAACACGAGCAACTATACAGTTAAAGCTGTTACGTTGCCGGCTGTCGAACAGCTATTGACCAATAGCGATCTTGTTTTTGGGGGCTCGACACCTCGCACTCCAGCCCACCCGCCTTCGCGTTCCATACAACCAGCCTGTGGTGGCGTCGCAGAACAGGTGTTAAATGAATGTGAAAAGAAATTTGCTTTGAACGGGTTTCTTACGTTAAAATAAGCTATCGACCGGCATGTGACAAATAGCGGGTTGAGCATGCGCGCTTCGACGTTTACTGCGTGCACAGACAAATGAAATATTTACATTTTGCTTTTAAATTCAATGGTTGGTATATGTAAGTGGTTCTTATGATATAAAGATAACCAAGGAAAGTTGTCGTTAGACCCTCGTTGCAACTAGCCACTATTCCTAGTAGTCGTTAAGGTTAAGGTTTTTTGATATAATAAATAGTTGGATATCTGAATAAAAAAATAATAAGCACATTTTAGCAACCATATTTTATTTTTCGTATTTTTTTAATTTCAATAAAAAATTTGATGAAGAAATTCTAATTCTGATGTTGGGGTTAAAAAGAAAATTGCAAAATTTGAAAAAAACATAACCTCAATTAACATTTTTTCGAAAAAAGCTTTTGACTTGTAATTTTTTTGAGACATACGTTTTTTTATGATTTTTTAAGAATTAATTTTTAAAAGTATTTTAAGCTCCTTAGAATTCCTTTATTTTTCTTTGCAGTCCTAAACCAAACCAAAATTTTATTAAATTGTTGTCAAATGGAATTATTTGTACGAGGTTTGTTCAAACATTTCGGCTAAATCACTGTAGTCGATATTCCAGCCGAAATGCTCCAATCGAAACCAAAAAAAAATCTTAAATAAATCTTCCAAAAAGCACCAACACAAGAGTTTTTAAATCATTTTTGAAATTTTTAAATACTTGTAAAATTTCTAAAACCCTGAAATTTACAAAACAAAACCACAAAAAAATAATACTATGTGAAAAATATTTGATCAAGATCTTAAACATCTAGCAAAGAAAGTGTAGGGTGTTTTTAAGTCAGCAGATGCATTAAACAAATATTGCTTATTCATTGTAAAATGCATGTTTTTCAGCGAATAAAATGTATAATTGATGTTTATTTATATTTTCATCATATTTTTACAATTTAGTTGCGACTTTTTTTCTAAACCTTAAATTTTCCCATAAGGCAATGATTATGGGTATTTTCTATGAAAATAAAATCTGAAACAAGTCTTCAATACCACGTTACCCGGAGATGGGCAACACGTCTTTGAATACAAATTAACCACAAAAAATATTTAAATATTTGGTTGCGAAATTTTTAGCGTTCCTAATTTTAGAAAATATTAATTTTTAAATATTTTAAAATATCTTATATTGGTAAAATGTTATAACAACTTAAATATTACTATTCATAAGTAAACTATAACAATTTAAATTTTACCCTTTACTCCAAAATATTAAGTAATTTATTTAGATTTTATTTTGCACTCGCTGAGGAATTCCGTGACTAAAGTATTGCTTTGACAAATGAAAATATCAGCAATATTTATGATCCCTGCAAAAATCATATGTGTATTATATACAGAAAAGGGCTCTTAAAATTATTCGAATATCCGGTTTGTAACTGCGACTTCTGCTGCGAGTATTTAAATAAAAATTGTTCTAAATCCAATTGAAATGACATTGTTTTGTTTTGTTTTTTTGAATGAACGCTTACTAGTCGAATAGCGGACAGCGAACGGTTAGTCCAAAATGAGCGGTTAATTGAATAGTCGACAACTTACGACTATCCGGATAGTGCAAATCGAATATTATTATTCGAGTAATGCCCTTTCCAGTTAATCCGGTTAGTCGTTAAGTCGAATAACAAGAGCTCTAACACAGCGTTATTCAAAATAAAAACAATATTGGATTGAAAATGTGAAGCATCGGCAAGCAACCGTTGTCAGGACCAGATAAACAAAATACCCGTTTGAAATATTTAAATTAAGATTTCGAGCGCCGCAAACTCACCAACATACAAGTATACCCACATATATAGATTTGTATAATATACTAGTACTTATGTATTTACACGTGGATCTCACATACATACGCACATATATATATATATATATTGTTAATGCAAATTTTTGCAGCTGTATATTAGCGAACTAATATTATACACTAACACGGGTTAGTAGATGTAGATGTGATGGTAGCTTCAGGATTATAACACTAAGAAAGTTCGCAGCGGCTATATAAACCGTCTACCGTTTCGAAGATTGCTGTAGTTGCTGAAGAGTTAAGCTCAGTCACTGGAGTTCTACTTTCAACTATATATATGCAGTTAATACTCGCAAATTTTTGTACTTCTATATAAAAGTGTTTTTTTTGTGTAAAACTGTGATTTTCGTGAGAATTTAGATATTTAAAATAAGTAAAAATGGTATGTTTGTTACATACAGTTATTATGTGATGAAAATATAAATAAAACAGAATTTTTGAGGAACAAAGATATATTTCCTCAAAATTAATTTCTAATCTGAAGAAAATTGAGTTTTTTCTAAAAATAAATTTTAGAAAGTTGTGCAATTTAATTTAATAATTCGCAAGAAAAAAAACAATTTTTTATTGCCCTGGATATTTTAGCAAGTTTTGATGTTTTCAAGTGTCCAGATAACGAATTTATTCATGAAAATATTGAATGTGCTCTTGTTTTTTATGATTATTGCATATTCTGATCAATTACCGGCTTGTTTGTAAAAAAATATTTTTCAAGTCATGATTGAGGTTCCACTCCCAGGCTTTTTACCGAAATATGCGAAAGGTGGAAGTGAATAGAAGGGTGAAACATCTACGCCAAAATTATTTTCTTAGCGATTAAATACATAATTAGGTAGTTGGGAATGATAAAGCAATTTTTCAACGTGGCGAACGTGGAAGGATATTGTTTAAAGTCATTTGTTGAAAATTTCCAAAGCTAAGTAAGTAAAAGTTGCTACTTAGCATATGTAATGGTTCTCAAATACGACAATTAATGACAGATACAGATTTGATCAAGGTCATAACTGTTTCAAAATTTTAAGATAGCAAAAGTTTTGTGTATATAGTCGAAAATTTCCTAAAGCACCTAATTATGAAGAAATTCTGAAAAAGAAGCTAACAAACTTTCAGACTCTAGGAGCAAATATTTGTAACAAGTTGGACTATCTTCGCAATCATATCGATACATTTTCGCATAATCTACGAAAATATAGTAAGGAACAGAAGAGAGCGATTTCACCAGGTTCTAAAAGTGACGGGAGAAAAGTTCCAAAGTTGATGGAAGCGATACATGATGGCAGAATACTGCTGATCGTTAAAACGGTTCTTTTAAAGGAGTTTTATTGAAATATAACATATGTTCTCGATATTTCTGTTTCTGTTTACTTCGTTTAATGTTTACTGAAATTATTGTATAAATAATTCTGTTATTTTGTGTCATTTTTTTTGATTTTTGAAATATTTACAACATGAAAATAAATATTTCAAAATAACCGAGAGATTTCAAAATGAGAGAGAGAGAGAGAGCAAATCGTTGACAGTTTAATGGACTGTGAGCACAGAAATAACGATCTTAGGCAACAAAACTACTGTGGACCAATCTTATTAACTTTTAAAAACATATAAAAATCCTTGAATACATTTTTTTAGTTATTTACCTAAAAATATATTATATTTTTTAAAATAAAATTATTGGTGAATACATTAAAGTATTGAAAGAGACTTTTTTTCGATCAAAATAAATCGATTTAGAGCTAATAAGATGACAAAACGCACAGGTCAACTAAATATCCAGCAATCAAAAATTATACAAAATTTAAATATTAATTCAAAACATATATTTTGAGTTTTTTTTTGTAATTTAAAAGGAAAATGTTGAAGAAATTTTATATATATTTTTTTAATATAGTTTGAAAGAAAATATTGAAAAATCTAAATGTTGGTATTTTTCAATATGTAATTAATTTTAAATAAAAAAAACTATTTATAAACTGTAATTTTATTATTGAACCACCAAATTTTAAATAAACTATATAAATATGTGTAACCTTACATTATTTTCTTTCATTTATTTTCTAGACATCATATACTGATAAAGGACCCAAGGTAATTAAAAAAGCTACTTAGACTGTAAAAATATTATAAACAAAATTTTCAATAAAAATAAAATTTTTTTCTCAATAATTTCATTACACAACTTTCAGCCGCTTTTTGGTAAATTTCTTAGTTTCGATCATTTGACCTTCTTCGTGGGTAATGCCAAACAGGCTGCCAGTTTCTACACAACACGTTTCGGCTTCACGCATGTAGGCTATCGTGGCTTAGAGACAGGGCATCGTCGTCTAGCCCAACATGCGGTCAAACAGAATCGTATCATCTTCGTTTTTGTATCTGCCTACAATGTCGATGATGCTGAACATGGTCAACATCTAATGAAACACGGTGATGGTGTAAAGGATGTGGCATTTGAGGTAGAAAATTTAGAAGCGATTTTCAAATACGCAAAGGAACGCGGTGCTGAAGTAGTACGCGAAATTTGGGAGGAGAAGGATGAATATGGTGTCGTGCGCTTTGCTACTATAAAAACAGTGAGTGCAAGCCAGATATTGAATTTTGTTAATAAAAAAGCGAGATTTTCTCTTTAGTGTAGAATTTATTACAATTTGCTGTAATTTTCTGTTTTAATTTCAATTATTATTCATCTTCTCTTTGCATAGTATGGCGACACAACACACACCTTTGTCGATCGCACTAAATATAGCGGTAAATTTTTACCCGGCTTTGTAACACCGCCCGTCGACAATCTTCTACAAGGTTTGCCATCCACCAAACTCGATTTTATCGACCACGTTGTGGGTAATCAACCTGACTTACAAATGGAGAGTGTTGCCGCTTGGTACGAACGTGTTTTGCAATTTCATCGTTTCTGGTCAGTGGATGATTCGCAAATACACACTGACTACTCAGCCTTACGTTCAATTGTAATGGCCAATTACCAGGAGAATGTTAAGATGCCCATCAATGAGCCGGCCAAGGGTAAGAAGAAGTCACAGATTCAGGAGTATGTGGAGTACTATGGTGGCGCTGGAGTGCAACATATTGCGCTCAATACCAGCGATATTATAACGGCAGTGCGTAATTTACGCGCTCGTGGTTTAGAATTTCTCACAATACCTAGTTCGTACTATGATATTTTGGAGGAAAACTTAAAAAGCAGTCGCACCAAAATCAAGGAAGACATGCAACTGCTTAAGGAATTGAATATTTTAATCGATTATGACGATAATGGATATCTGTTGCAAATATTCTCGAAAAATCTGCAAGATAGACCCACACTATTCATTGAAGTCATTCAGCGACACAATCACAATGTAAGTTTAAAGCAAGCAATTTTAAATAACTTTTGTAGCATTAGGGTGATACGGAAAAGTTTTCATAGGCAATTGTAATATAATTATATGTTGCTGAGAGATAAATTGCTAATACTTGAAAAGATATAAAAAAATATGCTTCGTTTGCACCAAAGCTTCCACAAATAGAAAAGATTCCACACAACAACTTGATTTTGTTCGGTCAGTTTCTATACCAGTTTTTGATATCGTGGTCCGATCTGGAAATCTCTTCAGGTATTGTAGTCTTGTCTTGGAAAACAATCTCGGCTAAATTTTTGAGTAAAAAAATTTGAGCAGAAAATTTGCAAAAGTTTAGAGCGATGTCTCAAAACCTGAGAGACTAGTTCGCGTATATACATACCGTTTTCAAAAATTCAACCACGCCCCTCTTCCCAACCTCAGATCGCCTGTAAATTATTTTTCCCTTATGAAAGACTAATCTGTCTTCTAAATATTGCTTTTATTGCCTTTAAATAATAATCAATTCTTTCTTTTAAGGGTTTCGGTGCCGGCAACTTTAAGTCACTCTTCACAGCTATCGAAATCGAACAGGCAAAACGTGGCAACTTATAGAACTCATATGGGAATTTAAATTCCAAAAATATATACATACATACATTCAATTACAAAGTTAGTAAAAACGTATATTATAAGTCATTAACAATACAATAATAAAAATAATAATATTAAAACTACCTGAGCGCCGTAAATTTCTACGATTTATTACTACTACGCTTCCGTTGTATAAACGGATCTTCTAAAAGTGTTTTGTTACGTGGATCATTTTCGGGAAACGATGGCATCAAAGGATTCCAGTAATTTGGTGGCGTAGTTGGTATGTGATCTTTCGCAGTGCGGTGACGTGTACAGCGTCGAAGGTGCGTCTCAATTTCCGACAAACTCATATTGCTGCCCATAAAGTCGATATACTAATAAGATGCAAGTAAAAAAAAAACAATTATTATTTATAAATTGTCTTCAAAAATATTTGTAAAAAAATAAAATTCACTTCAATTACTTTTTGACATTCATCACAATCGATATTGAAGCGTTCTTTGATCGAAAATTTCGCCTCAGGTAGCTTTGAAAGATGTGGTTTCAAATCAACTGCTCTCGCCTTCTTTTTCGAGGTGGTTTTCAGCGATTCTGCTTTTACATACTCTTCTTCTGGCTCCTCTTCCCATTCGGCTAACATTGCCGCCGCCAACTCGGTGGCTAAATTTTCACTACTTGTTTTTTCTTTTTTAACGACAACACTTGTCTTTTTTACATGATTTTGGGCTGCTTGTTGTGTCGTCAACTTTCCAAATTTCGTCCTACTTTCTGCTCTGTGCTCGCTATCATCTGATTCATCTAAACAAATTAATGGTGGCGCTGTGGGAGTTATAGCCAAAACACTATCAGATTTATCTGTTTCGTTGGGCATTAGTTCAAAAATGTTTGTGTCATACATTTTCTTAACATTTTGTTTTATTGCCCTATTTTCGTTTGATTTTTTTACATTCTCATCATCGTCATCTTCGCTACTGAATGGGAATATATCGTCAGTATCATTGGAAAACGTTGGAAAGGCTAGCGTTTTTTGTGTCGTAGTGGAGGATACATGAGATTTTGTTGGCGATAATAAAAAATTTTGTACATCACCCACATTTTCCGGAGAAGTTGAAATGCTACCCTGTTAATGGCAAAATATAAGTTTATAAGCATTAGCAAAAACGCAATATACACAAATATATAAAAATTGTAATTAACTGTGGCTTACATTTTTTACTTTATTTGATTTCATAGAGACCATTTGGGTTAACCGCGACTGTCTTAATTTTCGTTCGCCACTTTTATTCAATGACATCAGGCTACGTTTGCGTATTACCTCATCCATATTACTAGCGCTTCGTTTTAACACAGCTTTTCGCTCTTCACTCTTCTTGTCCTTTTCCAGCCAATCCAAGCGGTTGGATTGCAACTTCCCTTTTGATTTTAACAGTTTGCTATCATCTTCATTTGATACTGGATTTTGTTCACGAAGTTTATGCACATAGGAATCGTTATACAAAGTTTTACCGACGCGGCCGCGCGCTTTTAGAAAACCTAATGCACTTTGGTTTTCATTGTTGTTTCTTGATTTGCATGTCGGCGATGTGTTGTGCTGTAAAACACTGTCAATGCCAATCAAAAAGCGATTCGGACTACTTAGCTGCTCGGAGGCCGGTAATATTTCCTGAAGATGTTGTGCGGGACTTAAAACGCAAGATGATTCCATATTTAATTGTTCGCTATCCATAGCCATATTCAGAAATGCGGGCGAGCCATCGCTTATTGTAGTTCGATCTGCGTCACTTTTGGTAGGTGTAGTAATTCTGGTAACACCCAATATATCTGTGTCTATGAGGTTTCGATCCAGAGGCGTATATAAAATAGATTCCTTTTTGTATTGTGTTGATTGCTTGTGTTTCTCTTCAAATAATTTTGTTTGAAGCTGCTTACAGTTATTATCAAGTTCTACAATCTTACTGCGCTCTTTCAAACAGTGGTTTTGTAAAGCTGTGAATTCAATAAAAAGCAATTTGGAGTTTTCTAAATAAATACCCAAAAAAGGGAGAAACTTACCATACACATAGTCCGTGAATTCTTTCATTATGTTTTCACATTTTTTAACATATAAATCAACCCAGCCCCTATCAGTTAAATCAAAATCAGTTTTATGGGGAGCCATGTGAAATGTGAACTAAAAAATTACAATTTTTCGTGTAAAAACATAAAAAGACAAATTTTCTGCAGAGAATGTTTTTGTTGAATATTTTACATTCTCTGCTGGTTGGACCTTCTCTATATTTTACATTCTCTGGTTTTAATCTCCACTAAGTGCTTCCAAGTCGAATTAATAGCACCACACAGCTGTTTTTAACATTTATGGATTGACAGCTGAAAATGTGAATTTTTCACAGATTTGTAGAAATATTCACCTAAAATTTATAGTTTTTAATATAAAAACATTTATAAATAATCGTTATAAAGTTAATAAAAAATACCAAAATGGCGCATCTACGCGAATCGGCCGAAAAGGCATTAAAAATGCTGCGTACCTTACCGCGTGTACAAATTGGTAATATACGTCCAAATCCGAACTCTAAGAAAAATGTAAATACTATAAAACTTATTTTATTAAATAAAATCATCATGTTAAAAACAATAACTTGTTCATATAGACAAAGCGTGGACGTGCTCAGCATAGTGGCGATAAACACGGCGCTGGCAACAAAGGTTCCGGTCAGCGACAAAATTACATGCGGCTTGGTTATGAAACAGGCAACAATCCCTTTTATTTGCGTTTCCCCTACGAACCATATTACAAAGGCCATCATTTACGTCGACAATACCCCCCTTTATCGCTGTTACAGCTCCAAGTTTTGTTGGATACCAATCGTATTGATCCCAAACAACCCATTGACATCACAACTCTATGTAATACAGGGCTCCTACATCTGCAACCTGCTAGCATGGAATATGGTTTTCAATTGACAGACGATGGAATTGATCGGTTTAAAGCAAAAATATGTATTGAAGTGCAACATGCCAAGGAGTCGGTGATAGCAGCCATTGAAAAAAATGGTGGTGTCATACGTACCGCTTATTATGACCCCAGAAGCTTACAGGTGTGCATATATGAATTCACTGTACACAATATTTTCTATTATGTTTATTATAATTTATAAAGGCTATGGTGAACCCACAAAAGTGGTTCGAGAAGGGTGAACCTATCCCAAGACGTTTGTTACCACCACAAGATGCCGTCGAATACTACGCTTCCGCTAAAAATCGTGGTTACCTTGCTGATCCTGAGGAGATAAGCAAAGAACGACTAGTATTGGCACAAAAGTATGGTTATGAACTTCCACGAATTGAAGATGATCCCGACTATGAAATGTTGATAAGCCAAAAAGATGCGCGTCAAATATTCTATGGACTAGAACCCGGTTGGGTTATAGGACTTCGAGATAAAATTATAGTAAAATCAAAAGGTTTCCCTAAAGAGCGAGCAAATACAGAGGCGAAAGGAGAGGAAACTGAATAAAACAATTGCCATGATCAGTTTGTACCGCTATACATTTGTTAATTGACAGTGTTCTGTTATAAAAATAAACTCTAATAAGCCTTTTAAAAATTAGCGAAAATCTTTTGTTTTAAGTTATTTATTATTAGGCGTGTTTCAGCATAATTTTCATTCATATGTTGCCAATATTTTTTTAGAATGGAAAAATGGTAAATATCCCAAATTCGTTTATGGAGTCCAATTTAAAAAAAAACTATAATTATAATTTAAATACTAAATTCCGATACGCAAATTTGTTTGCTAAGTTTTACCTATTCTATAATATAGTAGAATTAAAGGGTTATATATTACTCAAAATGTCTTCATATGAACACTTGTTTAGCTGATAAACTATCCATGAATGGTTTCACTACAGCGCTTGTAGCAAAGCAAAATATCAAACCAAATGTAATGGAAATGGGTAGAGCTGGCAAAGCTTTGCGCCAAATAGCCAACAATAAAAGTGTTAAGCAAAGTCCAATTAATATCGCCACAAAACAGGCAATGGTAGTGATCCAATCGCCATAGCTCGATGCCTTACCAACTAATACAGAGTAGAAAATAAAATCGCCAAGTCCAAGTTTGATGCCACCTAAAATAAGGTATGTATTAATGTACTCGTTAAAATAAACTCATGAATATCTATGAAAACTTACGTTCTTGTGCCTCGAAGGTTGATGTGGGTCTATTTGTAGTAGTTGTTGTGCGATATTCCGTCGAACGATTGGCGTTTTGTCCATTGCTAGCTTGTACTTCAATTTGCCGACTCGACACACGTTCAGCATGGCTTTCTGTCCATTCTTGAGTAAAACCGGCTTCTATAATAAAATTAGGTAAGTTTCATTTCTTTTTTTTTTAGTTATGATGAAAATTATGTAGACATGTTTCGTAAAAATCGCGCTACAATTATGTACAAAGAAAATGAGAAAATGAGCTTTAACTACTTATAACCTATCACATGCAAAATATAATTACAAATAGCGAATCAAACATGTTTGTACTTGCAACCAAAACAAAATATGAACTACCACAAACCACCAAATTGTTCGTTTTACTTCCAAAAAGCGCAATAAATAAAATTTAAAAAATTGATTTAAATACCATTTCCGTGGGTTTTAAATGTGACTAGAGGCATACCTTCGGCGGCCTGGGCTGCGTCGTCATTCACCACATTACTGGCATTACCTGTGCGACGTGCCGGGCCGGCGGAGGAAGAAGCATGCTCCTCAGTTTGTTGAACGCCATTCTCAATGCCCTCAACACCCCTGTCATTGCTTTCGTTAGTCGCAGCATCGACGACGGCATATAAAACAGTTGCTAATGAAAATATGAATAAAACGCGGAGATAAAGACTTTTTGCAAATAAGTTATCAATTTTTATACATGATAGCTTACATGAATATATTAAAGCCGGAAATATTTGTTCATTGCGTTCCTGTGCAGTTTCTACCAGAATACGCAAAGGCCCTTTTGGCGAAAGTACAGCAATCAAATCTGGAAATTAAATTTTTTCTTTTATTTCATACGGTTTCTAACACTTTCACATTTCAAACTTACCCCAAATAGATATGGCCGCCAAAACTGCCCATGCTGTCCACTCTGGTAAATATTTAATGAATACCAATGCCATTAAAGCCGCAACAAATATGAGATAACCCTGTTGTAAACGTAAAGGACCTTGCCAATGTATAGCCATCATGCCAGCGATTCCAAAATTCCACAATATTAATATCGTTGTGGGATAGTCCATAGGTATATTATAAGCGCGTAGCACCTCTCTAAAACAAAGATTAATGTAAATACGCAGAGAGGTATAAGAAATTAGCACAACTTACTCCAGATACAAAAAACTGAAAATGAAGAGTAGCATAAACGATGAGAGAATCAACCAGCCGTGTATGATTTTGTAGCAACGCTTCTTATACAAAACAATTAATAAAATTGTCATTACAACAACCACAGCCATAAGGATCATTGAATTTGCCAAAGCATTCCACAATTTAACGCCAGGATCGGGAGATTTTTCATGAAAAGGTGTATATAAACTGGAAAATAAATATATACTAATAAAAAATAATGTGAATAGTTTTCGTTATATTTACAGATAAACATCAGTTTCCGAATAGAAACTTATGGCATTTATTGTGGCCACCACAACAAGCATACAAAGAGAGACCGGTACGAACAATTTAATCACATGTTGTGCACCATATTTTAATCCCTCTTCATCTAATTCTTCACTAGTTGCTTGATAAGGTGCGTTGTTAGAGCTGCCTGTTGCTCCAGCATTTGCCTGTGAAGCGGTGGGCCTGCTTCGTTGTCTAGCCGGTCGTACGACGACATTGGGCACATCTAAGATAGCCTACAAATATACATATAATCACAAAAGATACAAAATCTATTGACATGGTATTCGCTATCGTACCCCATCTATTTGATCATTAGCTCCATAATTGATATTTTGCCGTTTCCTTTGTTCCACACTACCACTACCGTTCAGACGCGTGCTGCTGCCTGCGCCGACGTGTCCGTCCATTAGTGGCGTGTGTTCACTCAAAAAGTCTTCGCGACCTGACGCCGTTTTGTAATAATATATTCGCACTTTACAGACCTACAATTAGGTACCACTTGCTATTAAACAAGTGGATTAATAATGTCAAAAAGAGATTTCTCAAATAATATTTTGCATAATGTGTTTTAGATCAAAGCCAACACCATTTATTCCGTAATTGTATGCACTAAAATTAATGTATTGTTGCAAGAATGCACTTATCAAAATTGTGAGTCAGTAGAGAAATTTCGTAAACGAATAAAATAAAAGGGGAATTAAAGCAGCTGTAACACAGGGTCGTATTTCTTAAGCATAATCACGCTTGTATAAAAGTAGGAATTGTTATCTAAACTTTTAATCTTTATTTCCCATGTCCATTTTCATATCATTTCAATTGCTTTGTGTATTTAATTATTAGTCTATAGTTTATGTGAAACTATTCGTAATTGATTAATTTATATATATACTGAATTTCTATTTCATTTCACGCAGCATACGTTCTAATTCAGAAAAATAAGTTGTTTTTATCGAAATGGTGTAGAAAATTGTGCCACCCTTAAACCATTGTATAAGCCTACAAGTAGCCAAAGAATCAGCTGTTTTCCTATGTGTGTGAAACAGCCGTGATCACCTGATCGAATATGCCTTTTTTGACACAGAGTTTTAAATAAAAGGTTGTAGTGTAACAATTTGCACGTAAAATGGAAATATCTGGAAAACTATACGTTTGTGGCGCCAATAGTTATATATATTCGTGATCTGGAAAATCTCCTCTATCCAACCATACCCCTCTTAACCCTGAAATCGTGGGATGCTAAACTTAAGTTTTCCCATTGCTTTTCCTCACCACCTCTGAGGTTGTAATATAGGCGCGTTACAGACCTTTTTTGGGTGTTTGTTTCCCCAGGACTAAACCGGTAAACTAAGAATTTAAATATTCAACAGACAAAGAATTTTCACTCACAAAAACATAAACATGTAAGTTAAAAAAGATAAAATTGGAAACATTTAATAATATTTCAATACAA